GCCCGCGCGGGGGCTGCTGCGCTGGTGGCCGAGCCCGGGGCCCGGGCCCGACGCGCCCGGCGCGGGTGAGTGTGGCCGCCAGGGTCCGGGGGGATCCGGAGCCGCGTCCGCCCGGAGCCTGCGCCGCCCGAGCTCCGGGCAGGGCCGGCCCGGAGGGTGGAGGCGGAGAGACGGGATGGGGGGACCGGATGGCGAGGGCACAGGGACCAGGTTGGGGGGACCTGGCTGGGGGGCGGGGAACGGGATGGAACAGGCCCAGGGACTGGGGGTAGAGAGGACTGGGGACGGGGATGGGAAAGGGGATGCCTGGGTGCTTGGCGACAGCTGGCAGGGAACGGTCCCCAGGCAGAGGGCACATACACTCCAGGGACCAGGACTGTAATGAGCCTCAAGGAGAGAAAGATGTCAGAGAAGATGGGAAGGGAGGGAGCTGGTAGCCCCCCACCCCTCCTGTGGTGGAGACCCCCGTTGGGGGCCTTCTAGCCAGTCGACAGCCGGGATCTGTCCCTTGGTCAGAGCTGGGAGATTGGTCATGGGTGGGTTCCCTGGGGCTGCCAGGCCCCTCCCCCATTAAACCTCAGGACGGATTCTCCTATTTAGCAGGGATCTCAAAAGGAGAGGCACCTCGAAGGAACTTGCCCTAGTGAGAAGGGGGCTTTTGATGTGCTCTCTGCTTGGGGGTGGGGTGGTCTGGGGGCAACAGGTTGCCCACCTTGAGGACCTGGGGATTTGGAGAAACCTAATGTAGCTAAACATGAAAGAGGGCCCTGGTGCAGTGGCTGGAGTGAAAGAGGACCCAGGCTGCCCTCCCTGGGCCCTTGTGCAGTGTTGTCTGGTGGCCGACAGATTGGCAGAGGCTTAGAAAGGAGAGGTCATTTGGTCCCCGGAGGAAGGGGGATTATAGAAGGTGGCCACTGGACAGGGAGGGCAGCAATGAGCAAGGCAGAGGAAACCAGGCCGGCGAGTGAGGGGTGGTGAGCTTCATCCATTCCCTCTTCTGCCAGTTTTTGTTTTTGTTTTCTTTCTGGTGCTAGGGATGGAACCCCGCAGGGGCCTGCAAAGTGCCGGCCTCACCACTGAGCCATGAGCTTGCCCCTGAGGTTTGCACTGGGTGCCTGTTGAGGATGGGCCAGGCCGGTCCTGTAGGACACGGGCCACTGCTGCAATGGGGCGTTTTCCATTAGAGGAGAATTGGGGACAGAGACAGGTGTGTTTGATGGAGCTAGGCCCCTGGGGAGAAGAGCCCCACAGAGACAGCGTCCAGGTTGACCAGGCAGGGTGATTGCTTTCTGGCACAGGATGGTCCAGTGGTCCTCACATACATGTCTTCTTTGATGAGACCTGGAGAGATGGGCACTCTGTGTGACAGGGAGGGATCAGTGCAACGAGGCAGAACAACAAGTGGCAAGTGCAAAGGCCCTGAGACAATATGACAAGAATGAGGGCCATGTGTGTGTGTTGGGGGGGGGGATAAAATAGAGCAAGGTCCCCTGAGGTCTTGTGGGCCAAGTGGGGACTGGCCTTTACTGTGAGTGGAATGGGAGTCCCCGGACGGTTGTGATCAATTTAACTTTTCAAAGGATTCTTATGGCTCTGCAAGGAGAACAGACAGGAGGGATGAGGCAGGTGACCTGGGAGGCCTTGGGCCCAGTTCCGGTGGGGATTGTCGTGGCCACAGGGTTCGTGTGGAGGGACTGGCGATCGAGACCTGGAGAGGGCCCCCGATGGCAGATAAGGGTTTTGTTTCTAATTATGGGGGTGACAGTGGTGGTCATGTGCTCTGCTGGCCGCTCTGAGTGTGAGATGCCTTTTTAAAATTCATTTTGCAGCCCCGGGATCCAAATCCAGGGCCCGAGCGGCTAGGCCTGGAGCCTGTGGCTGAGCTCTGTGTCTGTGTGGGTAGTCAGGGCCGTGGGACCGGGAACCCAGGGGAACTGGGGGGGTCAGTCAAGGGGCAGCCACAACCTGCGCCCGACTTCCAGCAGCAGTGGGCTTGGAGAGCCTGTCTGTGGCCGAGTGGCTGAGACTGGTCTGGTTCCCATTCCTCATGTCCCCTCTGGGAGAAGGTCGTGCTGAGACGTCACCCCCGGCCTCCCAACACCACTTTCCAGGGCGCACTTCTCCGTTTTTGTGCAGTGACACTGATGTCTGGCCTGGGGCCCAAGTGGGTGGCGCTTTTCTGAAAACCTCTGGCTTCAGTGAGGGCAGGGTTTCCCGAGCGCCCACTGAGTGCACACCGCAGGGCCTCTGTCCTGTCATGCTGGACTCCATGGCTGCGGTGGGGAGCCACTCCTAGTTTCAGCAGGGAAGAGACTGAGCTCAGGGGCCTTAAGAGACCACCAGGCTCCCGGACCCAGCTCCAGCTACTGCGCTCCTCCCCACTGGCCATCTGGCCTCCCCTGGGCCTGAGCGGCTGCGTGGACATGCACGGAGCCTCTCCAGGGGCATGTGTGGGTGGGAAGCAGCTGCTTGCTGTTCTGTGTGGCACATGTGGCCAGCCACTAATGCAGTCTCCAGACCCCAGATTCTGGGTTTGGTGTGGTGGCAGTGTCTGCTTTTAGTCTGCTGGTTTTGGTGGCCAGCGCTTCCACGCCACCTGCCCTTCCTCTCAGCTGAAGAGGTCACTGCTTCATTCCTGCTGAGTATGCAGGGGCCTTTATGTAGGATCACCAGAGCCTCCTGGTGTGACAGCAGTGGCCCCGGCAGAGGGGCCTGGGCTGCCTCGTGGGTCAGAAGTGCTGGATGCAGCCACCATCTCTCTTTCTCCCTGCTGATTTTGCAGTCCCTGAAGGGAATCAGGCCCGAGTTAGATGGTTCTCCATTTGAGGTCAGTGGGGTCAGTAGGGCAGACTGTGAGCCAACTCACAGGACATTCAATTAATGTTAGTGGGTGGTGCTCCTGGCCCTGCCCCTCCCAGGTGCAGACACACCTGGATTGACTGGGTCGGTGATGGGAGGGAGAGATTGTGCAAAACCAGGCTCCCAGAGGGTGTGAGAGGATAGGAGGCAGCCCTGGAATCCGGGGATGGGCTGGGACGCTGCACCAGGCGGGAGGCTACCCAGGTCTTTCATCTGCTCTTTCATTTTCTCCTATTTCAGATTGAAAACCGGAAGCTGTGTGCAGTGGGGAGCGGGCTCTGAACCCAGGCACATACTCTTCCCCAGGCCCCAGCTGGGAAAGTGACAGGGGCCCGGCAGCAGAGATAAGGACTAGCAGCGCTGGGGGCGGGGCTCTGCGGGCTGAGGCCTCCATTGAGAAGGCTGAGCGGCAGTGCTGCTCTGGCCTGGTCGGAAGTAGGGCAGACTGAAAACAGGAAACCGGGGTGGGGAGGTTCTCAAAGTGGGTGGCTAGTTGCACTTGAAGCCGACTCGCCCCAGCTGCGGCTCCCAGGGAGCTGAGGTGTGCACCATGTTGCCAGGCTAAAACATGATTTTAAAAGAACAACTTTATTGAGGTGTCTGTGCATGCAGTGGAGTCCCCATGTTTTACGAGCATATTCAATGAGTTTTGAGAAGTGCCACTGTGTGAGCTTTCCCAGCCGAGACAGGGAGCAGTAGCCACACCCAGACCCGTCCCCAGGTGGCTGTCTCTGCCCTGCTGTCTCCCCAGGGGGGGTGCCCCTCTGCCAGTGTCTCACGAGTGCAGCCGTGCTGTCCCTGCTGGTGTCCTGAGTTCCCTCTGTGTCAGTGGCCATCTCCACCTGGGGCTGTGCAGTAAGGGTGCCCCAGCCTCTGCTCCCCTTCCCTCTGGTGCATGATCAGGTAGGAGGTGGGGCATTCCTAGTCGTGTTGTCCAGCGTTTTACCACATGAACAGTACAAACACCTTTGTTTTTTTTAAATTTGTTTATTTTATGTGGTGCTGAGGATCGAACCCAGTGCCCTGCACGTGTGGGGCAAGCGCTCTGCCGCTGAGCCCCAGCCCCAGCCCCAGCCCCTACAAAGACCTTTTTTACTATTTAAAGGTAGAAAGTTTCTGGATTCAGAATCAGAGGGATTTAAGATTTGCATGTAAAAGTAAATCCTCACAAGAAAATAGAGGACAATTCGTAGCCTTGGATGGAGGGAGGCCTTCCTGACCAAGATGGGATCCAGAAAGGACAGAGAACATGCTGGCTTTTTAACCCGGGGACAGGCGTCTGTAAGGCAGCCTAAGTAAGCCGATGAGGGGTGGTGTCCACAACCGATGGGGGACGATGTCCTCGTGCGGGGACCCCTCCATCTCTGGTCGTGCCCTTGGTCTGATGCTGATGTGGCCACCCCACCTCCTTTTGGTCAGTGTCTGCCTGGTGTCCCTGTCCTCGTCCTTTACTTTCAGCGGCTCTCGCCCTGAGGTTCGCAGTCGTTTCTCAGCATGAAATCCCGTCCGTCCTGATGGCCTCCGTCCTGTGGCTGGGCTCACCCTGACCAGCTGGGCTTTTCAGAACGTAGGCCGCGGACGCGAGGGGTCCAGCTGCCGTCTGGTTTGTTTTCTGTTTTCTCGTTCGTCTCTTTCCTTTTCCCACGGCCCTGGGCACGACTAGGTGTTTGTATTTTTTTTTTTTTTTTTAAAGAGAGAGTGAGAGAGGAGAGAGAGAGAGAGAGAGAGAGAGAGAGAGAATTTTTAATATTTATTTTCTAGTTCTTGGCGGACACAACATCTTTGTTGGTATGTGGTGCTGGGGATCGAACCCGGGCCGCACGCATGCCAGGCGAGCGCGCTACCGCTGGAGCCACATCCCCAGCCCAGGTGTTTGTATTTTGATCTCTCTGTGTGCCTCAAGCGTTTTTACACGTGTGCCCATTCCGGTTTCCCAGCATCGCTGTGGCCTCTTTGGGGTTGCTCGGGTGTCCCTCCTAGGGTCTCTGGGGGGCGGGGTACCTGGGAGTGAAGTGGGGACGGCCCTCGGTGGCTCTCCCTGTGGGGCTCGGTGGCCCCCTGCTTCCTCCGCCCGCGTGGTGAGACTCCAGCCCTGGCGCACAGCCGAGGGCGCTCCAGGCAGAGGAAGTGGCACTGAGTCTGTCTCCCCTCTGTGCTCGCGTTCTGGTCCTTGAGGACCTGTGTGGGTGTCCTTCGGACCCTGGGT